AAGTTAAGAATAATTATAAATTTTAATTACTTACTAATAGATAATAATAATTAATATAAATGATAATTAGTAATTGTAGCATGGAAGTAGCTAAAGTGTGCGTACATTGCACGGGAGTGTCAGAATTCCTTTCAGATGTGAGAAACAGCCTGGCCGGATCCAACTCAGCCCTTTTTGTTGCTCAGAGATCCGCAGTACTGGTGCTCAGCTGCAGGAGGAAGCTGTGCAGTCCTTATGCAGGGAACTGCTGCAGCCCACGGCAGGCAGCGCCGAGACCACCCTCGTGTTGAACACTTTGCCCTGGGAGCGGACCGAGGTGATCTCCTGGACTGGGCCAGACAGAAAAAAGACTTTAGGTATGTCTAACTCGGGTGTAACTCATGTATCAGAATTTCTTACGGGGCAGAGACAGCTAACAAAGAAATACTCTGCCTCTCCCTGCTCTGGGGAGGGTTTACTGACTTGTCAAATTGCTCCTTGGGACTTTATCCCACTTCAAGTTGTCTGTGAACTATGGATGAAGAAGAGGAGGGTGTGAAAAGAGGTGGTAGGTCTGATGTGGGAGCAGCAGGGCAGCACAGTGGGACTTAGGGTTAGGTCTGGGGCAGATGTTGGAACAGAATCTCTTTGCTTTCCAGCTCTGGTGACGGTCCCCAGCATGGGCTATGCTATAGTGAGGGAGCCATTGCTGCCCCCTCAGCCTGTGGCAGTGAGGAAACAGGTAAGCACAATGGCAGTTGTCCTCAGATCAGTGTACCCTGCATCAAAGGTTGATTGGGGAGAAATCTAGGGAATCCAGCACGCAGCAAGTCCGCACACTAGATTTGCAACTGCGGCACTCAACTCCCGCAGGTGTAGGTCTGTGAAATCTGTTTCTGTCCTTTCCCCCAAGGAGGATGGCTCCATTGCCATGGAGAATGGGGTGATTGCAGTCTGCCTGGACATGATGGGGCACCTGACCTCACTTCGGCTGGTGGGCTCCGAGAGGTGTGTCTGTCACCCAGTTACTGGAACCAGGCTCCTCAGACCTCTCTCAGGTCTTTTTCTCACTGTATGCCCTTCTCCACTGCCAGTTCTTACGCTGCTGTTTCTCTGTTCCACTTTGTTCCAGAGAGTCAGTCCCAGATGGCTGCTATGCCAACCAGTTTGCACTCTTTGATGATGTTCCCCTGTACTGGGATGCCTGGGACGTGATGGATTATCACTTGCAAACCAGGTAGAGGAGCAGTGCATGCAGCACTTGGATTTTGACTTTGCTCTGAGGTTCTTGCCTCCCTGTCAGTGCTAGCTGTAACAAAAGCTGTAACAGAGCATTATCTCTGGAGACGTGAGTGCCTGCTGTGTGGGAGGCTGGATTGGGATTTGGGAACCTGGATCTACCAGGCTGAGACCAGCCCTGCCTTTATCCCTTCTCTAGGAAGCCAGTGACAACGCTGCTGAAGCCTCTGGAAATCACCCTGGATGGGGGCCTGCGGGGAAGCGCAAGCTTCTCTCTGCAGATCGGAGAAGGCAGCACCTTAACCCAGGAGATCATCCTGGACGCCACGTGCCCGTACCTCCGCTTTGTGACCCAGGTTTGGCCAGCGGCTGCCGTGCAATACGAACATCTGTGCTGTGCAGGCAGGGCCCTGGGGAGCTGAACCTCGCGTCTGAATTACGTTCCCCACCCTGTTTCCTTCCCTGGAGCCCCCCACTGCCTGTCCTCCTCTGCCTTAGGGGAAGGCAGCCCGAGGGTGGCGGTCCTGAGGGACAAGGGTGGAAGAGACACCCACCAGTTCATCGGTGTTCAGACTCTAGTGCGGTTTTATGGTACCTGGTCTGGCCTGGGTATGGGATGGCTGCTGCGCACCAGGGAAGGATAAGTGCAGCCTCTGCCTGTCAGCCCCCCGTGGTGATGTCATGCTGCTGCCACGTTTAGGTTGAGTGGAAGGAGGCTCACAAGTTCCTGAAGGTGGAGTTCCCTGTGCAGGTCCGGAGCACAAACGCCACTTATGAGATCCAGTTTGGACACCTGCAGCGGCCAACGCACTGGAACACGTCCTGGGACTGGGCTCGATTCGAGGTGAGAGGAAAGGTGGTCTGGTCCCAGGGCCAAGCTGCTCCTCCCATGGTGGGGGCTGCTCTTGCTCCCAGGCAGTAGCTCTGTGTGGGGAATATGACCCTTGGCACCTCCTGCAGGTGTGGGTTCACAAGTGGCTGGATCTCTCCGAGCACGGCTTCGGGGTGGCACTGCTGAACGACTGCAAATACGGGGCATCGGCCCACGGGAACATCCTCAGCCTCTCACTGTGAGTAGGGTTGGGGTGAGGGTGGAGCTGCAGCGGTCACTTTGCCTTCTGAGGTGTCTCGTGGAAGTCAAGGCAGCACCTGGTCCTAAATGATCATAGTTGATAAGGAAGTAGCCTGGTATTAGTCTCTGTCATCTGAGAACTTTTGGCTGACTTAATTACCGTTGACTAAGATAAAGTAATTCCTCTGAGTTATGCTCATAGATAATTCAGGAGAGATCAGATCCACATTTGTACCGAGTAATTTTTCTGTTGCTGGCCAAAACATACCCCAGGAGGGGAGGCTTAAGGAGAGGGAAGGAACAGCAATGTTATGGATGCATACAAAGCTAAGAGAAACTCTGCATGTTTCAGTTTGACTCCATCAGCCACAACTTTCACAGGAAAACACCCTTCAAATTGTTTAGCTTCTGGGACTGTCCAGGGTCTGTTTGATGTTTCCAGAAGCCAGCAGCATGTTGGCTTCCACCTCAGGGCCCAGCCTCAAGGCAGCAGTGGAGGCAGTTGTCTTGTCCCAGTGCTCCTCTGGCTCTGCACTGCGTGACAGAGGGTGCTGCTGCAACACCAGTCACCTACTTCTTGTTGCCTTAGGCTGAGAGCACCCAAGTCCCCCGATGCCATGGCAGACATCGCGCACCACCAGTTCACCTATGCCGTGATGCCTCACCTGGGTGAGTGACGGGCAGAGCTGGGCCCCGTGGTACAGGCAGGGCGGAGGATGCTCCAGTGAGCCTTGGGGTGAGCATGTCTCCGGCTGTGCATGCGTAGAGGCTGGCTAGAGGTTCTTGTGTTGCAGGTTCTTTCCAGGACGCCGGTGTGATCCAGCATGCTTACAACTTGAATTTCCCCCTCCACACGGTCCCGGCCACCTCTGCCCAGTGCCTGTTCTGGAGCGCCTTTTCTGTGAGCTCACCTGCTGTTGTGCTGGAGACTGTCAAGCAGGCAAGTCCCCGGGGCAGAAGTGGGGAGGGCAGACAGGTTAAGCTGCTGTTGTTAAGCCTGGCTTGCTCTTTCCTCCACGCTGGGGGTGGGGCTCAGCTGAGTGGAAACAGTGATCCCTCTGGTTTGCATGCCTGCTAGGTGAGGACAAGGGGGGTTAGCACCCCTCTCTGCCAGCCCGGGCAGGCACTCGCACCGGGGATCACAGTGGTGTCCACATCTGTATGTGGGTGCTGCAGCCACAATCATTAGCGCTGCACCGTGGCAGGTCAGGAACGCATGTGCACGCTGGCAGAGCCGCTCAGCCGCGAACACTTGCGTCGGGCTGTACCCCAAGGTGTAGGGTAGGATGCGCCCATCTCGTTTGTCTGAAATCCTGTCGGCGCTGTCCCCCAAAGGCTGAGGACAGACCTGAAGCCATGGTGGTTCGGCTGTACGAGGCGCATGGCAGCACCGTCGTCGCCTGGCTCCAGACCTCCCTCCCCGTTAAGGAGGCGATGCTGTAAGTCCGTGCTGGAGGGCTGGGCACATGTGGGGATGGAAATCAGTTTCAGCCTCACCCACTGCTTTCTTCCCCAGCTGCGACCTCCTGGAGCAGCCGGCTGCGCAGGGTCACCTGCCGCTGGAGCAGCGGGGTGTGAGGCTTTCCTTCACACCCTTCCGCGTGCTCTCCGTCCTCTTGGTCTTGAGGCAGTGACACCATCAGTCGCCCTTGCTGATGCCACGGCAACCTGGATCAACACTCTGAGCTCAGATCACAGCCTGAGGCTTCCCCAATCCCAAGAGCTGTGCAAGGAGGTGGTGGTTCCAGGGAAGGGCAGTCTCCCCCTCGCCCCCCACCCAGCCATCGGAGAGCAGCACTGAAGAACAACCAGGTTCTTCAGGAAAGGAGGACAGTTGCCCACTGCCTAACCAGGGAAGGAAGGCCCGAGTGAGCTCCCAGCTAGCTGAAGTGTGGGTAAGGTTGTGGGACAGGCTGGCTGGCCCCTCACGGGCTCTACTCCAGCCCCGGGGGGGGTTGGGAGCAGCAGCTTCCACACTGGCTCCTGTGTCTCAGCCTTCGTTTTGTCCAGACCCTAGCAGCGAGTGTAAAGACGCACTATGGTCATTCTGCTCTCCCCTCGCCTGCCTCTTGCACTGCTCTTGCAGAAGGGGAACCAGAAGTAAAGAGAAGAATTACATGAAAACAAACTCCAGCACTTATTTCCAACTGCACTGATCTGCCTCCTCCCAGGGGCTCTGTTGTAGCTGCTGCTCTCTTAGTGTCCTCCTCAGCAGGATCTCACTCCTGGGTTACCTTTATTTTGGGGGGGGCGAGGTGGAGGGGAAGCCTGCTCCAGCCCATCTGGGGAAGAGGCTGGGCACAGGGGGGTTATCCTTAGCACAAAAAAGGTGTGCACGGTGATTTCTACACAAAATACTTTATTAGTCAGCTAAAAACAGTGATCTATGCAGCAGCCAGAAAGGGAAGAGGGGAAGGAAGAGGGAATCCACTTTTAGGCAGAGGGAAGGGGCAGAGTCCAGCACAACGTGCGGTCTGTGGCCCTTATCCCCCTCAAATGCCCGGGGACAGCAGGAGGACACCAGATAAATCAGCCCCATCACCAAGCTCAGCTTCTCCTTCCCACACTGGCAGGATGCAGCGGTAGCAAGCAGGTGTGAGTGCGGGTACAGAGCAGCCCCATTTCTCCTCAGCACGAACCCAGGCCCCGGCCAGACCCTCCCTGAGCTCCTGTGTCTGTTAAAATGCCCCTCAGGAGGAGGAAAGCGTGCTCACACGGCAGGGGCTGCGCCTGGAAGATGGAGAGTGAGAAGTCAGAGGGTGAGGGGGTGCCTGGTTCTGCCCTGCAAAGCCCCGCTGTCTCCTCACCCGCCCTTTGGCACCCCCTCAGTCCCCCAGACACGAGGGAGCGCTCCCACAGCCCCCGCCTGTGCGTTTGAAAGCCAGAGGGCCTGCCAGCCTCACCTCTGCCCCTGCGCGCAGACGTCTGGCGGCTTCTCTTGGCTTTGACTGGCACCTCAGGCTCGGACAAGGCTGGAGCAGTGGTCACCTTCCTTGTCCCACGAGCACGTCCCTTTCTTGGCCTGTCAGCCACCTCCTCCTCCTCAGCTGACTTCGGGGGTTTCGCTGCAGCCCTGGGGCGCCGTTTTGAGGCGCGCGTGGTGGCCTGTGTGGACATCAGAGCAGGAGCTTAGCAGCAGAAGTGTGCTTGGAGCACCAGCTGATAAGAAACTCCAGGTAGGAGACCCACTGTGAATTCAGGAGCAGCCTGAGCAAGGGACGGGGAACAGGACAGCCTCTAGACCCAGCAGGAGCCACAACCACAAAGCTTCTTACCTTGGGGGTCAGAGCCTCGGGATCTGCCTTCAGCTGAGCGCGCTTCTTGCGGGACGTCTGCCCTGTGGGAGAAGACATGCCCAGGTTAGGCGGGGTGAGGAGAAGATGGGGCAGAGAGCACCCGTGCCTGGGGGGACAGGCTGTGGCACAGTGACCGTTCAGGGACGCTGTCCCAGGTGATGTGTGAGCAGAGCTGAGCCGGCTGAGGTGGGGAATTGGCAGGAAGGCTCGAGGAGGCTCCTCTCCCCTCCCACCAGATTCCCTCCCATGCCAAAACATGGCCCAGTTTGGGCTCGCAGCCCCAGGCAAAGCACACCCTCCTGCTCCCAGCCTCGCAGGCGAGGAAGGGAATGTAGGCGCTGGCCTGGAAAAGCGCCCTGCAGGTGGAAAGGCAGGTGCATGTGCTGGTAGGAAGCCTTGGGCAGAGCAGGCTCCGTCCCCCAGTGCCAGTGGCTGTCACAGGCCCGTCAGCACCCCAGGGAGAGGGGCTTTGCTCCTGCCTTTGCCCTTGGGCTTCCCAGGCTCCACCCCTCCTGCAGCAAGAGTGGGTCCCGCAGGGAGGAGAGAGGACACTCACCTTTGGGAGCCATGGGGCCAGGCTCTCCCTGCAAGGAAGGCGACAGAGCATTGACTGGGGCACAGTCATTCTGCAGGTTGCAGCAGCAGAATCTGTGCCCCTTCTCCACCCCGCAGCCACAACAGTGATTGATAAGGAAACAGCCACATTTCCCTGGGAAGCCAGGGGAGTCGGACTTGCTCTGCCTGCCCTCTGCCTCGGGGACTCTCCTGTCAGCCCCTGCTCCTTCTGCAAGGCCCCACCACGGCACCTCACCCAGACACGGGGCACAGGAGGGAGGAACAAGGCTGCCAGACTACCCGAGCCCCCCGTTCCCACAATCAGCCCCTCCGCTGCAGGCTGCCTGCCATCCCTTGGCCAGGTGGCCACCGCACAGACGGTCCTTGTCACCTTCATGTCCAGCGGTCACAGCAGTCTGTCGGAGAGGGAGATCCCCAATGATACAGTGTAACTCTGGGGGGTCTCGGGAAGCAGAAAATGGGCTGGTGTTCCCTTGGAGGAGTGGTCGGGAGGGCACCCAGCCCCAGGCAGCGACCCCAGACTCCTACCTGGAACCATATGGTCCTGCCATTGCGGTCGCGCAGGGAGCTCATGCCAGGCACCAAGTAACACTGCAACCAGTTCTTGAAAGCGGCATAGTTATCCGAGTGATCTGGGTCAAAGAGATTTTTCTCTGGGAAGGGAGAGAGGGAAAGAACAGAAGTAGAGAGGAAGCAGTGACCATGGTGTCAGGGTGCCCTCCCAGGCCTCCTGCTGCTGGGAACGCAGAGCCCAGGCCTCCTCGCCAGCCCCAGCTGTCCCTTTTCCCCGGCTCCCTGTCCTGTCGCCTCACCCGCTGCGATGACCTCCATGGGCACGGTGTGGCACAGCTCCAGGAGATCTGGGTTCTCCCGCTTCAGCTTCAGCTTCTTGCTCAGCGTCAGAGAAGGATTCTGCAGGGGTGGAGAAGGGGAGGGAAGTCACCTGCCAGCCATCCCAGCCTCATCGGGGTCTCTCCTCCCCAGCACCAGCCAAACTCCCCATCTCCTCTTGCCCTCCTGAGGACGAGCTGCCACACTCCTCGCCCCATGCCAGCCCTGAGCTTACCCCATTGCAGGCTTCGAACTGCACGTTAGCACGTTGCCCACAGCTACAGACATGAAAGAGGGCTAGCACACAGAACACCAGCAGTGCATAAAACCAGCCCTCAAATCACATATTTTGTTTTCAACCTCCTTTAAAATAGCCACCTCCTCTCCCCCGAGGCCACGAGATAGGCCGTGGGCTCTACTGCAGCCTTCCCCAGAGATTTTAAGTTTGCAAGTGTATGTTTCCCTTGCCCCTTCCTCTTCACCCACCCCAAATATACCCGAAGACTTCCTGACGGCAGAAGCTGGGCACCAGCGCAGCACGCAGGCGTGTGCCGGGGGAGCTGTCACAGCTCGTCAGCCCGGCCACGTGGGAACGAACGCTGCACACGTGAGGTTACAGAACTGCTGTGCCCCGTTTGCCGCTCCATTGGAGGGGCAGACGTGCTCAGACATGGGTGTTTATGGCAAAGGACAGTAACACGCTTGAAGAGAAAGATCCTGTGCAGCAAGCGTTATAGTTGTGAAGGGAAAATGCCTGCCATTGGGTTGGGAAAGACTCAGAGCAGCGAATACCTCCCGACAGCGGTGTGGGCAAAGGCTGTGCCAGCTCTGCAAGGGCCTCGTGACAATGTTCTGCCCCATCAGAGCGAGGAACCAAAAATGAACTGAAACTGGCCTTGAACCCTGGCCTGGAACAAGCCTAGAACAGCAGACCTGAACCAGAGCTTCGTGCCCAGCTAAGCCCGAAGCAGAGCCAGAGCAAGGCAGATGGCTGAGCCCAGACGGGGCTGGAAGCAAACTGAACCACCTCCACTGCTGCTGAGCCCAAACCTGAATCAGGAATGCTTCTCAGCTCAGTCCGGTGCCCTGCATGGGAGGTGAGAAGCTCACAGGACCCCAGGGTGCTGCCAAGATGTCCCACAGAGCCAGGGGCAAACAAATCCCTGATATGGCCTCTGTCTGGAAGCCTGCCCCTTTCTGAGCCTGCAAAAGCACCTGATGATATTCCCCACCTTCTTCCTCCTCGCCTGCTCCTGATCCTTCAGGGCCTCCAGCACGGTCCGAGCCTTTTCAAAGGGAGGGATCTTCAACCTGAGAGAGCCCATCTGTTACATACAAGCCTGAACTCTCAGTTCTGGCGCTTGCCTGCGTCTACCAAGTGAGGAAGCCCAGCCGGCTTTGCCACGGAGCCATCAAGCTCTGGCAAACTCTTGGAGACCAAACCTCCCCGGCAGGTCAGCGGGTGCTCGGCCCACCTTACCTGTACAGGATCTCAGCGCGGAGGTAATTCCCAATTCCATTGAAAAACTTCTGGTTTAAGAGGGCCTCGCAGATGGGCTTGTCAAAAGCCTTGTCGTCCAGGTTCTTCAGCACGTTCTCCCTGCAACAGAGCGCGGGGCATCAGGCAGGTTCACCTGGGCATGGCCGTGCTACTGCCGTGCAGTAAGTGCAGCCAAAACAAAGGGTGGGGGGCCCTTCCCTGGGGCCGGGCCGTGGCTGGCAGGGTGGCGGGCCGCTCACCTGAAGGCCTGGTACTCGGAGAGGACGCAGGGCCCACGGCCAGGCTGCCAGGCGTCGCCCAGCCGCCATGAGCCGAAGCGGCGGGGGGGGGGCGAGCAGCGGGGGGGCGGG